ATAAAATCACATAAATTTTATAAGAAAATATCAGAAAAAATTTCATTCCTATGTTTTTACAAAATTTATGGGACTTGTTATTCATCGCCTACTATTTCAATACTTCAATTTTAACAGTTAATTATTCTCAAATGATTTCCTAAATTTTTTACTTTGATATGGATATTCAATATTTAGTCTATCATTCGAGGTTTTTGAGAAATTCAATCAAATGTAAAGACATTGCTTTCTCAACTTTAACAATTAATTACAAGAATCACCGCAACTTGCACAAAAATCCCAATGTATGCAAATTATTCTCTATAGTTTTAGCTCGCATCTCATTCTCACAGTTTCATATACTTTTTCATCCCTTAAACACATATAAAAACTTTACTTTCTATTATAACAAAATCACATAAATTTTATAAGAAAATATCAGAAAAATTCTTACATTGACAATTTTCATTCCGATGTTTTTACCAAATGTATAGGACTTATTATTCATCGCCTACTATTTCAATATTTCAATTTTAACAGTTAATTATTCTCAAATGATTTCCTAAATTTTTTACTTCAATATGAATATTCAATATTTAGTCTATCATTCGTGGTTTTTGAGAAATTCAATCAAATGTAAAAACATTGCTTTTTCAACTTTAACAATTAATTACAAGAATCACCGCAACTTACACAAAAATCCCAATGTATACAAATTATTCTCTATAGTTTTAGCTCGCATCTCATTCTCACAGTTTCATATACTTTTTCATCCCTTAAACACATACAAAAACTTTACTTTCTATTATAATAAAATCACATAAATTTTATAAGAAAATATCAGAAAAATTCTTACATTGACAATTTTCATTCCGATGTTTTTACCAAATTTATGGGACTTATTATTCATCGCCTACTATTTCAATACTTCAATTTTAACAGTTAATTATTCTCAAATTATTTCCTATAGTTTTTACTTCGATATGGATATTCAATATTTAGTCTATCATTCGTGGTTTTTGAGAAATTCAATCAAATGTAAAGACATTGCTTTCTCAACTTTAACAGTTAATTACAAGAATCACCGCAACTTGCACAAAAATCCCAATGTATACAAATTATTCCCTATAGTTTTAGCTTTAATATGAATATTCAAAATATAATCTACTTTATAGACATTTTCAAATTGTCCATAATAAATTTTGTAAAAATGTTCACTTTTCTTTTGTACAACAACAAAAAAATGTTATTATTTCAAGCGCGCATTAAACTTTAACGAAACGTTATCCAAATTGCCGAGTTTATATTAAATATGAATACAGGAGAAGACGGCTCTGAATAAATAATTGCTTCGTTAAAAGAAACAAAACGAAGCGGTTGTGTTCCATTGTTTTTTTTTGTTGTTGTGTTTTAAATAATAAATGAATATCGAAAGAGTCGAACTATTTTCCGCTTTACGAACCGGACCCAAAGAAATTCACGTAACGAAGGACAAAAAGGGACAGAAGTTAGATAGAAGGAAGAGAGGGATTTAGAGAAGAGGAGGACATATGTAAGGGTGAGTGTAAAAAAGAAAGAGATAGAAGAGACAGGGGGGGAGGGGTTTTTTGGAGCGGTGCGGTCTATGGGGGTTGGAGTGGTTGCGAGTGAGTGAGTGAAAGATTGGCGCCCTAATTGAACTTGAAAGCTGACTCCGCAATAGAACGAACGAACACATCTTACACTCACTACTACTCTTCCTCCTCCTTCTACTTCTACTCTTCCACCGCTCCGCTCCTATCCTGACTCCTGCACACTTGATCTACAGGCCCGACCCTAAGATTAACACTAATTAAATTTACCGAAACAAAACACACAAGAATTGAAAAAGGAAACAAAAACAAAACAAGAAGAAGAACGGGAAAATAAATGAAAAGACAGCAAAAATGGTGGCAAGACAACGAAAACAAAAGAAAAACAAAACAACAACAAAATAGCGACGATCGACAAAAGAAAGTAATAAATTGATTTTTTTGTTATTCTACAAATGTAGCACAGGTTTTGTTTAATGTTGCGTCCACACTATACTTGATATGCGACATAAATAATAAGTAATTGGTACACCTGACATATGACATTCTTAATACTAAAATCTATATGAAAATTAATCCCTAATTAAATATTATACTTGATTTATCTTAGTATTATTTCTAAGATTACTTAGATGAAATGAGATTAGGTAGCTAAGTTATACGAAAAACTTCTTTTTTTTGGTTCATAACTGAATAAGAGATGGTGCTGTTAACTGATTACGCTGTGCATTGTTTATCGATTCATTTCGCATGGGACGTGGAGCAATAAAAATCTGAGACATTTTATGCACAAAGTAAGAGACGTTTTCGTTTGCCAGGAGAGTGCATTGGGAGGGAAAAATGCGCGCGTAGCGAGAGCGAAAAGACAGTGAGTAGAAAAGAAAGTAAAAGAAAATGGGAGAAGAAAGAAAGAGAGGAGAAAATTGATGTAAATGCGCATCGAATTTTTATCGTCGTTTTACTGTCGCAACATGTAGAGTAGTAACTTTATGGTCGAGGGAACTTCTCTTTTATGTCCTCCTCCTCCTACACCATCCCGGAAAAAGATATTTTTCCTTTGTCTGGCGCGCGCTCCACCAAACCTGATCCACTCAAAGAGGAGAAGAGACGCGAAGACAACAGGAAAAGTGAGTGAATTGATGAAATACAATGAAATAAACGTGAACACACACTGTCGCAGAATCGCGAAATCTTTTATCGCCGAGAATAAACACACACACACAGTTGTTGTTCTTTTTCCCGATTGATCAGAATGCGCGATTTTTATTGGTAAAACGAAGAGAGAAAAATAAAAAATTATAGAAAAAGCAAGAAAAAAATATACAGAGAGAGAGACTAAAGAAAATAGAAGGAGGAAAGGTTTATTTTTTTTTTTGAGAGAGATGGGGAAAAAAATTGCGGATACACACTGTAGGGGGTGGATGGAAAGAAAACAGAAATTCCGGGTGAGATAATGGGAATAAATATTGTTCCTTTTCGTGTTCGCTCATTTATTTATTTGCGCTGAAACGAAGTGAAATGAAATAATAAAAAAAAAATATATATATGGTGGAGGAAAAGGAAACGCAATAATTGGTGTATTTGCGGAAGAAAAACACTTTTGCGTTTGCATTTTAATTGAATTTGCGGATTTTTTTTTTGTAATTTGATCATAATATATATTTTAACATGAATTAGTAAAAAAAATAATTACAAAATAAGTTTTAGAAACTTAATTATTGTTGAGTTTTTTTTCTACAAAAAATTATGAAATTTTCAGATGAACTGTATGAAACATTAATAAATCTTAAATAAAAACAATATGAAGTGGAAACTTGAATATGATTGAACGAAAATAACTACAAAATAAATTGTTCAATTTTATGCGAATTTGTGATGACTATATTTTATGTTTTCTATCGTAAATTCTTTATCGTTTTTCTTTGTACTTAAAACTCATGAATAGAAGCCGTAACAAACTTAATTAAAACTATCAATTAGGCGCTAATTGTTCCTTGTTTTTTGATAATTTGTTAATTAGTGGATATTAATTAAGATAATGGAAAGTTTCGAATACTAAAATATCTCTTATTTCATAATTGATTAATATACGAAATTATGTACCAAATTTTAATTTATTTCCTTTTTTAAGGTAGAAAATTTCGATGCTTTGTGGTAGAAATATTATAATAATTATTATCAAGAACAATTTATTTTTTATAAATATTGTACGCTACAAAAATTTAAGTTAAAAGTATTGAAAAAGGTAATTTCAAGTTTACACAGAAAGAGTGATTCACATATGAATAATGGGTCTATATCGCAAGTCCGACAACCGAAAGACCGTCTATTGAAATCCCGACTGTATCGAAATCCCGACTATATCAAAATCTCGACAACCATAATCCCGACAAACATAATCCCGACTATATCAAAATCCCGATGAATAATACACATGAAGTTTACATATATTGAAAATATCCATTGATTTTTGAATTGAAACATTGCTTAAATTAATAATAGTTTCATCTTTTACTATAAAAAATGTAATTTAGTAAATGTTTACTTTTAAGTAAAGAAATATAAAAATTAAGTTAAAAACATGTATATTTGTATTGTAATTTCAGTTGAATCATCAAGTTCTATAGTATAATGTAAATAATTTCAAATTTTCATAATTATTACTAATCAAATGTTTATGACTTAAATGTTTTGAAAATGAGATAATTTCAAGAAAAAAAAAATCTTGAAATAATTAACTATAGTTTCTTAATGAATTGTAACAAATCTATATTGTATTTCATCTTGTTAATAAATAAAGAAAAATTTTCTTTTACTTTTTGATATATACGAAAAACGTAAATTAAATACATTATGATAAACTTATTTCTTTCACATGTAGTTATCAAAAATACAAATGAAGATACAACAACAAAAAAATGCAATAATTGTACTAATTAAAATTAATTGCATTTAGTTCAGTTTAAAACAAATATATATATATAAACATATCGTTTACTTTACATAATTTTGAATGGATTTAGTAAAAATTAAAACTGATTTGGGATATACCTTCTTTATAACGAGATACAGTTGGTAAATTACTTTAATTTGGTGATTCAGAAAGCGCGGGTAAAAATGACCAGCGCCGTTTGGAACTTTTTAAAAATTATTGTTAATTTTGAGGAATAGTTGTATAATAAGTGTACAGTATTTAAATATAAAATATAACTCATTGTTGTGATTGAAACTGTTCACTTTCTGCAGTACTTGTTATATGTGATTTAGGTAATTTTGGTCCTTACTTAGTTTCTTTAGTTTTGAAATATGTAAGTTTAGAAGCAGTTGCTAAAGTTGTGAGTGCATTTTGAAGGTTTTACTTTAGTTTATATAAATAATTATGTAATTTTTAGCCGTTTTTTTGGCTCGAAATAGTTTAGAAACAGTTGCGAAAGTTGTGAGTGGACTTACTTTGCAGATTCATGGAGGTGGGAAACATTGTGGCCCTGTGGACGTCCTGGACGTGCGGTCGTCCTCCCATGACGGCGCACTGGGAGGCGGCGGAAGCCGGATGATGGACGGCCGCCCCGGCGGCGGTCGCCGGATTGTAGCTGCGAGCCATGGAGGCGGCGGCCGCCGTGTACCTGTATGCAGCCTGCGACATTTGGCTGCAGGAGGTCAGGTCACCGTACGAGCAGGGCATGTTGCCCAGCCCGGTGGGGTCCATGCCGCCCTGCAGGCAGCTCGAGTCGAACCCCGCTTGATTCAGATACGAATAGTCCATATTGTCCCACTAAAAAAACACAACAACAACAACAACAACAACAGAATTCACACACTCGCGATGAAACACTTCAGTAGCACTTTCGATAATTGTTAATGTTTTGCAACTTGTGGATTTACCACAATTTCTTGAACTAATAAGGATAATCCGATCTATTCAAGATGAGATGGAGAATGGGGATGAAGAGGCGGGGGGTGGTGTAAGTCGTCGACGTCGGTGGTGGAGAAGAGCGAAAGTGGCCGTCAAAGGTTTAAGAGAGGAGAGGGCCTCGGTAATTGGATCAACGGCCCCGATAATAATATCAGATTACGGCGATTACGGATAATATCGGGGGTGGCGCGCGTTTTAAAGTAGAAACTTTACTCTCGTTTATATATATATATTTTTTTTTTATATATATATGTGTGTGTGTGTTCTCTTCGCGCGACGAAAGAGAGGACCAACAAAAAGAAAGATAAACGTATAATTTTTTTCCGTCGACTTCGCAGCAGCAGAAGTGTGGCGGCAGCGGCGGCGGCGGAGTCAGAGGCGGCGTTGGCGAGCAGGAATCGCGCGTGTAGACCCGACTGTCTGGTTGCGCCGAAATCAAATGATAAGCTTAATTCAATAACGTGGCAGAAACCTCCGTTCCGAAGGGTGGAAACGAAAAACGGAAGAAAAGGGCGCGCGCGAGGGGGGGCCGCAACCACCCTTGCGCGTGGGGCGGAGCACAGCTCACCATGACGCGACTCCGGACCAATGGGAGAGAAGCGCGCCGCTCACCCTTCATCCTGATTGGTGGATCGCGCGCCTCGTCAACGTACCCCCGGGGGCACGCGACTCACTGGTGACACCACGCGACCGTCTCTCTCTCTCGTCCACCCCCATAATCTCACCGTTTCCATCTCTATCGCTCTCGCACGCGTTACATATAAAACAAATCAACCCCTAAAAAGCAGTGTTTTCAGGAGGGGTGGGGGTTTGTCTCGTTCGCACACGCTCGCAAACTCGACCCGACTCGCTCCGCATTCATTCAGTCAGTCAGTCAGTCAGTCAGTCGTGCATTTTCGAATATTAAAATGCACGTTTTCCAAATTAAATTTACATACGGAATGGCTCTGATCTGTTTTCTTTGACTGTATTTCTCTCTCACCTCTCCACCCCCTCTCTCACCCATCCCTTCATCCACCCGCACTGTTTACATCAACAACGGCGCACGCCAGATCAACCGGAAACAGGAAGCAACAATGCACCGGGAACACCTGTAACGCGCGGACCGCCTCGCGCCTCCCTTATTTATTTCTTTTGTTTTTACCACCTCCGCAGCCTCCTTCGCGCGAATAATTAAAATTCAACCGCCGAAATTAATTCGCTTCTCCCCCCCCTAATCATTCCGTCACAACTATCAATAATCAAATTACCAATTCATTTAATAAAGTAAAAACATTGTAAGAAATTAATCTAAATTCCAATTGCTAAATTTTAAGATATTAGAAACTTGGCATTCTTAAAAATTGAGTAAGATTTTATGAAATGAACATTGTATATGTTAAAGAAGTTGCATACATAATACACTTTTGACATTGAGTGCCATCTGGAGGATGTGAGAGGAAGCGGCGAAAGATGTGCATTGTCAAAGTTTAGACGTTTCTGTTGCAAGTATTAATTTCGTGGTAGGCTTTAGAGGCGGACTTTTTATTTTATTTTATAAGAAATACTTCAATAATGAATTTCATATAACATATAACAAATTTGGAATTCTTAAGATTTTATGAATTGGATTTTGTGATTTTTATTGTGAACATGTTGAAGAAGTTGCATACATAATGGACTTTTGACATTGAGTGCCATCTGGAGGACGTGAGAGGAAGCGACGAAAGATGTGCAAAATTTGTCAAAATTTAGACGTTTCTGTTGCGAGTATTAATTTCGTGGTAGGCTTTAGAGGCGGACTTTTTATTTACAGTTGCGTCAGTGTCGTGTGTTATAGCAGTTTTTGAAGGGTCGACAGACGAAATTCCAAGCCACATCAAATGTATCCGATTCGACGATGAATATAAACCTGTTAAATTTACCGGCGGCCATCTGCACGATCGTTTTCAGGAAGATCCTCGACGCACAGCTGGGAGGAAGATTCGCTTCGGTAAGTCGAATGATCTTCATTGAGTGCGCGTTAGAGACGACTTAACTGTTGGTCCGCAGGGCAGGATCGTGACGAGAGGACCTTGGCACATCGAAGAGTACATCAGTCCGAACGTCCTGTACATCTACGTGATCGGAGCGGCCCTCACCTTCCTTGGAAACCATCTTCGACGAGGCACCATCTTCAAGATAGCCGACTCGTGCACCCGTCGAGCCATCACACTGCGCGACAAATGCCTACAGTTGGTAGCGACAATTACCTCTAGATTAAGAGATTTGCAATACTTTCTTAATTATTTAAACATTTCTTTTGTCTGATCAAGTATTGTAATCTCCTATCTCATTACTAATTTATAAGAAGCTGTTATTAATTATTATTCATTAATATTAGAAAAGTCAACTCAATCTTTGACTAAATTGTTTCAACTTCTTATAATTAGATTCGGTATGAATTAATCTGTTAAATTATGTAAATTGTTGTTTACAGGAAGAAACGATGGCTTAAGAGGAACCGGTCCTGGGTGTTGAAAAATCTTTTAAGCTCTCGCGAAAATCAAGTCAAGGCCTTGAACTATCTGAGCTGCTCCATACCGAATCCGGACCTGGTGCAGGAGCATTTGCCCACGACGGCGACAACAGCTGCACCCTGTTTGACGCAACCGCGCGATGTTGGTGAGATCAGCAACGCAACTTACTTCACCGCGTCCAAGGACGAAGATAATCCTCCATCCGGAGAAGTCATCCAATCGGTGGACGATATGAAGATCAGGACGGAAAAGCCGAGGAGGCGAAGGCGCAGGAAGCGACGCGGCAAACGGCAGCAGAGCTTAGATCGAGGCGATTGTCCCAGCGATGAACAGAAGGTACAGGAGAGTGGAAGCTGCGGTTCAACGATGGACGTCTACACCAAATCTGTGATTAGGGAGCTGATACCTAGCGATTACTCGGAGGAGTCTGACACAGACACCTTTCAAATACCTGAGATCCGGATGCCCGTCACTGCTGCTGCAGGTACTGCTGTTAACACCACCTCCAAGAAGATCCGACCCATCACGAACAGAGGGTACAGACGGGAGGGTAAGAAACACTCGAACTTATCTCTGGTCCGGAAGACACGCAGCGGACGCATCTACGGTTTCAGGGAGTACGCGCTGCACTCGTAGATCTCCAACAAATGTCTCGTGATGTCTCCTAAATAAAAATTAATTAAAACAGAAAATCAACATTGTTTTATTCAATTAGTAACTAAACTTTTTAATTAATTGAAATAATGAAAATTGAAATCATTTCAATTAAAAAGTATCTGATACTTAATTCTGTTAATAACTTATGAATCATGTGATATTTTCAGTTACAAATCTTTGAAACATTAATGTATCATCTATTTGATTCGATTGGAAAATGTGGGGGAAGGGTGGAAAGAAAAAGAAAAGAAAAAAAGTACTAGTGATGTCTCCTAAATAAAAATTAATTAAAACAGAAAATCAACATTGTTTTATTCAATTAGTAACTAAAGTTTAAAATTTAGAAAGTTTTTAATTAAATTGAAATAATGAAAATTGGAATCATTTCAATTAAAAAGAATCTGATATTTAATACTGTTAATAACTTATGAATTACGTGATATTTTGAGTTAGAATATTTGAAACATTAATGTATCATCTATTTGATTCGATTGGAAAATGTGGGGGAAGGGTGGAAAGAAAAAGAAAAGAAAAAAAAAGTACTAGTGATGTCTCCTAAATAAAAATTAATTAAAACAGAAAATCGACATTGTTTTATTCAATTAGTAACTAAAGTTTAAAATTTAGAAAGTTTTTAATTAAATTGAAATAATGAAAGTTGGAATCATTTCAATTAAAAATAATCTGATACTTAATTCTGTTAATAACTTATGAATCATGTGATATTTTCAGTTAGAAATCTTTGAAACATTAATGTATCATCTATTTGATTCGATTGGAAAATGTGGGGGAAGGGTGGAAAGAAAAAGAAAAGGAAAAAAAAAGTACTCGTGATGTTTCCTAAATAAAAATTAATTAAAACAGAAAATCAACATTGTTTTATTCAATTAGTAACTAAAGTTTAAAATTTAAAAAGTTTTTAATTAAATTGAAATAATGAAAATTGGAATCATTTCAATTAAAAAGAATCTGATATTTAATTCTGTTAATAACTTATGAATTACGTGATATTTTCAGTTACAAATCTTTGAAACATTATTGTATCATCTATTTGATTCGATTGGAAAATGTGGGGGAAGGGTGGAAAGAAAAAGAAAAAAAAGTACTCGTGATGTTTCCTAAATAAAAATTAATTAAAACAGAAAATCAACATTGTTTTATTCAATTAGTAACTAAACTTTAAAATTTAGAAAGTTTTTAATTAAATTGAAATAATGAAAATTGGAATTATTACAATTAAAAAGTATCTGATTCTTAATTCTGTTAATAACTTATGAATCATGTGATATTTTCAGTTACAAATCTTTAAAACATTAATGTATCATCTATTTGATTCGACTGGAAAATGTGGGGAAAAGGTGGAAAGAAAAAGAAAAGAAAAAAAAAGTACTCGTGATGTCTCCTAAATAAAATTTAATTAAAACAGAAAATCAACATTGTTTTATTCAATTAGTAACTAAAGTTTAAAATTTAGAAAGTTTTTAATTAATTGAAATAATGAAAATTGGAATTATTACAATTAAAAAGTATCTGATACTTAATTCTGTTAATAACTTATGAATCACGTGATATTTTGAGTTACAAATTGTAACTGAAAATATCACGTGATTCATAAGTTATTAACAGAATTAAGTATCAGATTCTTTTTAATTGAAATGATTCCAATTTTTATTATTTCAATTTAATTAAAAACTTTCTAAATTCTAAACTTTAGTTACTAATTGAATAAAACAATGTTGATTTTCTGTTTTAATTAGTTTTTATTTAGGAGACATCACGAGTACTTTTTTTCTTTTCTTTTTCTTTCCACCCTTCCCCCACATTTTCCAATCGAATCAAATAGATGATACATTAATGTTTCAAAGATTTGTAACTGAAAATATCACGTGATTCATAAGTTATTAACAGTATTAAATATCAGATTCTTTTTAATTAAAATGATTCCAATTTTCATTATTTCAATTTAATTAAAAACTTTCTAAATTTTAAAGTTTAGTTACTAATTGAATAAAACAATGTTGATTTTCTGTTTTAATTAAATTTTATTTAGGAGACATCACGAGTACTTTTTTTTTCTTTTCTTTTTCTTTCCACCTTTTCCCCACATTTTCCAGTCGAATCAAATAGATGATACATTAATGTTTTAAAGATTTGTAACTGAAAATATCACGTGATTCATAAGTTATTAACAGTATTAAATATCAGATTCTTTTTAATTGAAATGATTCCAATTTTCATTATTTCAATTTAATTAAAAACTTTCTAAATTTTAAAGTTTAGTTACTAATTGAATAAAACAATGTTGATTTTCTGTTTTAATTAATTTTTATTTAGGAGACATCACGAGTACTTTTTTTTTTCTTTTCTTTTTCTTTCCACCCTTCCCCCACATTTTCCAATCGAATCAAATAGATGATACATTAATGTTTCAAAG